CGTCTCGGGAAATGCCCACATTTCCCTACTCATTTCATCATAAAAAAATATCGGTTGGAGATACCTCATTGATTCTTTTTGCATAATATAGCGTATAGAATTGCGTTTCGTCTCTTATATATGTATAACATTGCTTCCCCATAGGGTGGGGGCGCCTCCCAAAAGTCGAAAATCGTCTTTTTTTTTCTTCGGTACATCCCACAGTTTTTTTTTCCTGACAAGGAGTACTATTTTTGGTCTGCTATTTTCAGCATTAAATAATGTTTTTTTTTTTTTAATTTTGTTTTATCAAGTCCAAAATTCAAAAATCGGCCATTTACATGGCCTCATGGCTCCGAGATGCAGGGCTCTCACAAGCAGAGATAAACATTACCTTAGATGTCAATCTTTACCCTAGATTTCAGCAAATTACCTTGGAACTGTTGGAACATATCCCTGAAAATTACCTAAGTTTTTTGTTGAAAATATGAGTTTATCTCAACAAACGTGCACTTCCATTGTTTGCAGTACTTTTAATGACGATTGCACAACTGAACAGGTCTAGTTTTAGGTAACAATGAACCATAATACGCATATGAGGTTTTTCTTAATAGACCTGATAGGCTACATTACAACTTTAGCATGAATGGAATCATTACGAAAATTAATGCCCTTTCCTTCAGCATAAATAATACTTATCTTTACAAAATAGAAGTAAAAAAAACATTTTCAGTTACTAACTGACAGTACGACTGTCGAAAGTGTTATCACACTAGATCATCAATAATAGTTATCTTTACAAAACACACAGAAAAGAAGAAGAAAAAAATCAAATACTGACAGTGACTGTTGAATGTTATCACACTAGATCATCAGTAATACCTATCATTACATAATACAAATAAATTAGAAGAGTCCAAAAATGGAAACACATGAGTAGTTACTGTTCTATGTTTCATAATAGAACAACTTTCCTTTTAAGACCATTTTTGGTATGCAGTCAACTTACCAGCCTAGTACTTTTCAAACTACCTCTAATATGTTTTAATTCTTCATAGATGACTAAAAAGCCTTTCTACAGATGCATTAGAGTGCGGTAGGGATAATGTACACGCAACTACTTTTGAACAACTTTTACTGTACGTAAAAATACGTTTGTGGTGCAGAGCATACTGGCCATTACTGGGCTTGTTTTTCAAAACCATAAATATTATTAAATTGTGGGTGTTGTGTAAGAATTACTAGAATTACCCTGAAAATTACATTACCTTAAACGTTACCTTAACAGTACATGAATTACCTCAAATTAGGGTAATTACCTTGAAAGTGCTGGGAGGCTCTAATGAAAGCAACAAACTGCATTTGGATCACACAAAAAATACGAGAGTTAGGATGTACCAAAAATAATGTAAACAAAGAACGGAGAAAAGACGTTTTATATTTTGGACACTTGCCAAAGTTCGTTATCTCTTGTTATTTTTCTCTAAATCTAATTATATTATATTTATATATAAAAGCTGAATTAGTGTACTTTGCAATGCGATGATTACCAAGTCAATCGGAATTATCATTTTCAATAGGGACGCTATTCTGTAAAGGTATGTCGCTGTTTTTTGTTAGATATAAAAGTAGATATTTTTGTCTGAAAAGCTTCATAAATGCATTGAACCATAGAGACAACTAATCTAAACCAAATTAAAAATTTTATTTTCTATTTATCATTTTTTAAACTTTAATTTTGAAGAAATGGAGAACTGTGGATGGAAATATCAGTACAAAATCATCTTAGTTATAAAGTCGTAGCATGAATACAGCATGGCAATTCAATTTTGATAATTTTGAAAGCATATGAATTTTAGTAAATAGAATTCGAGATTTACCGAAGTATTTGTTTTTTTCCCATACTCCACATTGGGGGGGGGGGTCATTGGGTGTTTGAAATATTCGAGGAGAATCATATGCATGTAAACACGTGCACATAAAGTATATAAATAATAATAATATATATAATAATATATATAATATATATATATATAAATAAAAAAAAAAAAAAAAAAAAAAATTTAGTAGGCCTACATCGAATTTTATAAGTAAAGGAATAAAATATACTAGATAATTGTCAATAGTAACAGATTGCAATGAGAAACGAGTATGGAGTTGATGATAGGTCATTTGCAGCCTTTATCTTTACTAAAAAGAGCATAAAATCATGCAGATGCCTAGGTGTGGTTGGATATATGCATATTTATGGTACCTAAGACATACGGTAACGTCTAAACGTATTTTTTATTTTTTTAAATCAGAAATCCACAAAATGGATGCAATAGCTTTTTCAACTCTAGACGAAGACTGCACAGACAAACGAGTTAAAAATTCCATACAGTTTTTATTTCAGAGTGGGTATTACTGTGTACTATCGTCTTCAATTTGAAATAATCAGTATCTCACTTATATCTCTGAAGTTCAAAAATTCAACTTTTAGGTACCCTTTGTATTGAATTGCCCTTTATATCGGAAAAGACCAATTTCAAATATCAAATTTACCGATGCTGTAATGAACCGACCGTTGAGCGAAGTCTAAAGGAAATAAATATTTTAATCCTTATACAGCTATTTTCATACATTTGTGCTATGTACTCTGCCTGCATACAGATCACTTTGTACGCTACATCTTACGAGGGGGTCTTGATGGAAACGTATTTCATGTGTAAAACGACACAAAACTTGCGTTTTTGATATATTAAACAAAATATTTTGCCATAAATCACTGATATGATATTTTTCTAATACTGGTTCAAAAGTGTTCTTTGAACATTCATGAACTCATATCTGTGCGCAATGTCATACTCAAATGCCATATGCACGATTGCAACAAGCAAAAGTCCACATAGGTGTACCCAGGCTCATTAGCGGCGTACCTCCCAGGTGTTTAGTGGGTCTCGTGTGCACTGCCTGAGAACTAACCATAGCTGGGCTTTAATACTTGTTTGGTAGTTTCCTCATTCATGTACCTATACTAGATGCTAGCTCACTCATTTTAACTCAAAATTATTCTCAGGATGGTCCCTTGAAGTCCTATCAGAATTCAGTAAGTCAGAATTGAATTTTCTTAGGATTTCCTACAAATCCAAAATCCCGGGTAGTGGCGGCACTGCTGAAGAGGTAATAAATTTAATAAGTTTCATGGTTATGTCGTGGGATAGAAATTTTGAAATGATTGTCTACTAATTACTAAATAAAATTTTCCCAACATATTTAAACAGTACAGAAATATAATAGTAAATAAATTTTGATGACTTTGAAGATATGTATATGCGTATATACATTTTGCAATATATATATATATATATATATATATATATATATATATATATATATATATATATGTGTGTGTGTGTGTGTGTGTGTGTGTGTGTGTGTGTGTGTGTGTGTGTGTGTGTGTGGTGTGTGTGCGTGCGTGTGTGTATGTATTTGTATGTATATACATATAAGTCCCTATATATATATTGTGTATGTAACATACACACACACACACACACACACATATATATAATATATATATATATATATATATTATATATATATATTTGTGTATATGTATATATATATAATATATGTATATACATATATATACATATATGTACAATATATGCACACACATATAATATATATATATATAAAGGGAGAGGTAAGTAAGAAAGCCGATGGATGTCTTTGCCTTGAACGACAACGACACTATTGTCATTGTGTCCATTTCATGAATAAATCAAACTGACTATATAAGCTTTGTGCGTGCATGTGTATGTTCGTCGATGCATGGACCGTATCAGTGTCAGCACCATTTATTGCCCTTCCTTGATCTACCAGTAGGCTTAAATATGAGCTTTTCCATCCTTTCGTGATTTATGAAATTTACCAAAACTCATACATCAACTTCAGCAACATCAGCATAAAGAGAAGTGACCAAAAGGATCATTCAGCTGAAATTCAGCGAACTGAAAAACAAATCGAAGCGATATAAATCATGAATAGAATGTGATGAATAGTTTAACCCAAATAGATTTCAGTGTGCGAATGACAGCAAGAGCAATGGTTGATGACAAATCAATTGATTAAACATGATGTACTTTTCGTGGGCCTATTGTCACTAGCCAGTTCGGTAAAGGAAACACTAGACTTGAAATGACACTAAAGCGAATGGATATTGATATTAAGGAATTAAAAAGAGACCGCAAAAATGTGCATGAGTAATCAACCAACATTTCTCTGGCGTTTGCCGTTGGCGCTCGTCCACGTGGGTCCAGCTCGACTTAAACGTATTCATATAACCTCGGTCAGTCATTTAAACGTCCTCTGTAATATTTCAGGTAATTAACTTGTTCCCGGTCGATCATTACCATTGACATATATAATGTAAGACATTTCAGAAGCAGATGAAATAAATCGACGCGCGGTTAGAAGTCTTGATTGGGGTAATTAGCAAATTTAGGGTCAAATGCAAATTGCTTTGTCCATTTAGTGCTGTTTGTTCTCTCGGCAGACTGTCCACTTGGCAACTTTATTGTTGATGTAGCGGTGACTAAAAATGGTGGAGTTTCAAGGAAAATCTCTCTCGGAAGTAAAGCCAGTCCTCTAGCATCGAAGGTTATTCTAGATCTCGTAAACAATTTTGGCTCTTGGGGCTAGGATAACTGCGGTCGATAATGAGACGTAGTTATTCGACGAAATTATTCCTTTTAGCCTTATTTGGTAATCAGTTTTGGTAATTTTTCGAGGATCTCTTCTACAAAGTTAAAATAATTACTAAATGACTGATAACGGTGAAAATAACGGTTATTACAATAACGATGGTGATGGTGATAGGCATAAGGATGATACCAAAATAGTAATAATAACAATAAAATAGTAATACCTATGATCATAACAATATCATCAATAATGTTAATAACAATAATAACAAGTGATGAATTAGCAAATACTTTACACAAGAAATATTTGAATAAATATCAGGTCTTGAGCGTTAATCGTGAGGGTTAATGCTGACTGTTGTGCGTTTGAATCGTCTCGCAATGGCCAGCGTTGGCTGAAGGGTCATTTTTATACACATTTTTTCTTTTCTTTTTTCTTTATTTCGTGTTTAAATCCTTTTTATTCTTTTATTCTTTCTCCTCCCTTTTATTTTTCTTGGGCCGAATTTTTTTTTCACTCTCACTGTTTTCTCTTTTCCACTCTCTTTTCCTCTTTCTCACTTTCATTTTCTTTCTGTATCGATCCCACGTCCCTCTCTATAAAGGAGGTTGATAAATGACCTTCCGAGTTATGTGTCTATCTTGAGCAGTCTCCGGAATACATTCAAGATTTGCAACGTGCACGAATTTGGGGTGTGCATATAATCTGCAAAGATCAATATATTCACTCACATTTATATGTATGTATATCATGCGTACACAGGCACCGGACGCGCGCGCGCACGCGCACACACACACACACACACACACACACACACACACACACACACACACACACACACACACACATTAATCTGCATGTGTATACGAAGGTGTGGTGGTCCGGCTCGCGCAATAAACAGGTGTTTCTGTTTTCTAATTAGCACCTGTCCGCAGCCACGTCGCCTGGACCTTTCAGACGCTATGACAACCACAAATCACAAGCTACACAACCTTAACACGTTTCTAGCAACTTATATGATTGTAAGAATTTTACAAGGGTTAAGACGAGTACCACTGGAAAATATACTTGCCTGCGCGTCAATAAAGTACCTTGTTGCATTCTCTTTCCTTCTAAAGCAAGTATGTGAAAGGATAATAATTTGATGATTGAAAATGAGAGAAAAAATAAAAATAAAATAAAATCACGGAAATCCACAGAAATTCTAGAACGGCCAGGCAACATAGACTGCACATAATGAAAAAAATCTATACTTGACAAAAGAATATATACTTACACAATTATATACACTTACACACACAAACACGCATACGCACCACTTTATTCTCGGTCGCCGTCTATTCAACAAACATGCCCATTCAAGGTTTGCTGGATCGGATATTTGGATCACGAACGCCGGTGTAGGAGGTGGTCGGTTTCCAAGGCAGACTGCGAATATACTGTCAAGCTTGGAAAGCCATTTCACGGGTGGAGGGAAGTGCTCTTTGCAGTTGAACATTCTTCCCGCACGAACAATCTAAATATACTTACATACACACACACACACACACACACATATATATATATATATATATATATATATATATATATATATATATATATATACAATATATATATATATATATACATATATATATATATATATATATATATAT